ATATTAATTTTTGTCTGGATCAATATAAAAGTATAAGCCTTTACTTAAAACCTCTGATTATCTTCGCATGTGCTAATTAGGGTCTCTGCTCTTTCCTATTCATCACATCTAATTGTTTCTCCACATTCCGTTTTTATAGATTTTCTTACTATTAATCTATTTTGGATAAACATGTAAAAAACCTTATTTCGCTCTAGTTTACATAGACTGATTTGAATTTATCACAATGTCTTGACTAGCAGACCTCAGAATGCAATTTAATTTCCTTTAGCCTTGTCTACCAAAATATTTTATCATACAAAATGCACCCAAGTTATGAATACACATAGGCCCACATATCCCCAACGGGATTCGAAAACTGGTTTTGCGCATCAAGCGCCATCCTTATCACACTGTCATTGATGCCAGCGGATCAGGGGGTAGACGTGACTTTCAGGTCAGGCCAGGACTTGTTGGGCTTCCATTTCGAGGGAAAGTGAAGGTCGGTTCCACCAGAAGACGACTGCGAATTCTTCTTGACCAGCTGTCGATTGGCTTTACTGGAAGATTCATGCTGGCGCTGTTTCCAAGGCAATCTTCGATTACAGTGAAAAGGTGCTAAGCTTTCGTCCGTTATATGACGGACATCATCAGAGCGAGGTAACACGGTCACAACAAAATTCAAGCTAACGAGTCAAGAAAACTCGCCGGCAAATCCCTAAAAAGTGGTATATATACTCTACATCTGGCCTCTGATCAAGTATAAAGTGATTTGGTTAGTTAACGTCATATGTCAATTTTGATGCATGTGAGTGTGTCTTTCTCTGTATGTGAATGCGCCTGTTTGTGTTCATTTATGCACGAAACCCGAAGTGATGGCTCAAAGTAATTAGGACAGCAAAAAGAAACGTCTGTTTTGGCCTTCAAGGTTTGATGACCTCTATCTCCCCTTTCTACATTTAAGTTATAACCATCACTCCGATTGAGCAAGGTCGGACACATATCTGGTTTTATTGATGAGCCTTTTTTTGTTTTTGGTCTCAATGCGAGAGAGAAAAAGACCGTTTTTATTTCCCACTTCCTTACTTGCTCACCTATCCTTTTAAAGAGAACGCACGAAGGTAAAGACAAAACATGAGAAAAGGTCTCCTTATCTCTCCTTAAGTATTCACCATTCAAAAAGCTATTCTTTATTTAATCTAATTTTATTTTCAATCAAGCCTAGGGGATAGTTATTATCAAGAAATATTATTTTAAGCCGATTCAGTTCATTGTCACAATGATCTACATCGGCTACTCTTATTCTCCGAATAATCATAGATTTTAAAACTCCAACCTTTGTTTTGTAACTATGATTGGGGAAAAAGTTAAGTATAAAGCCACATTTATATAGACATCCCTGCTTAGCTTTTCACCTGCTCTGATCACTTTAAAAAGGGTAAAGTGTTATTGAGATCCATCTCCATTGTTAACTTTATATTGCAATCAATCTGGTTAATTAAAAATAAGAAATTATCTAATCTATCCTTTCCATGCTGCCATATGGCAAAGTAGTCATCCATATATCTAACTAACAGTTTGGGTAT